TATGATCATGTCCTATAGGCAAGGCGAGTTGATCAAAAGTGTGCATAATTTGATAGTCGTATCTAATTTTGAAAACATGAATCTCGTAATTATTGCATATTTGCATGTCTTTTAGAGCATAGCCAACGGTTGTTTTGTGAACTTAGCATGCTTTTAAAATGATATATTTAAATATTCTATTCAATTAAGCTCATGCAACATTCTTGGATCGTGCAATTGAGCTTTTAGTTTGATTGTCGGAGCACATTCCGGATTAAAATTTAGTAATTTGACACATTTAGTGTGCTTTAGGATATGATTGTATGCTCTTTGATACACATTAAAATATTGTGTTACTACATGTGCATAATTTAATGACACCAAAGTTAATCAGTCATACATGTGCGTTAGTCAATGTCTTTCCAGGAATTTCAAGTATTTCATTTGAGAATTAACTTAGCCTTAAGTTTGCTCGTACCCACATTGTGACATGATATCAAAATTTTGATCTTATCTAATTGTAACATGAAGCTAGCAAAGCATCATGTTTTGAGTATAGATAAGATATTTTATGTCACCACTTTAAATTGATAGCATTGAAACTCTTGATACTTGTAATATTCAATAAGAGAAATTTTTCATATTCAAAGACAAGTCTTTTTCTTATTCATGATTGGTACGCTATCATTTTGTCCAATATGAAGTCATCTTTGGTATGTGTCAAATTTGGATTAAGTTCATTATTCAAAATTTTTCCGAGGAAATTATTCAGAACAATCATGTTGTTCCACTGGGTTTCCTCAGTACGCTATCATTTTGGACAATACTTTTCACCTCTGATGAGTCATAAGAGTTTCATTTTACCTCAAGATCTATTATTGAATGTATTTGTGCAAATTTATCTTGCCATGTAATGTTCTTATATAGAAAAGATTAAAAAAACAAGGTTGTACCCGAGATCTAACTCGGTACAACATGCCTATTTTCATCTCAATATATCTTAATGAATGTTCATGTTGGGATTTGTTCCATTGTTCGAATTTTTTTCTAAATGTCAAGAATAATGGCTTTCCTTAGTACGACATCATTTTACACATAATTTTTCTTCTCTAATTAGCGGTAAGAATCTCATTTTACCTCAAGATCTTTTATTAGATGTATTCCTGTAAATTCAACTTATCATTTGATGTTCTTACGTAGAAAAAATAAAAGAAAACAAGGTTGCACCCGATATCTAACTTGGTACAACACGTAGTTACGATAAAATTTAAATTATTAATGCTTAGTAAAAAAAAATTACATAACACTCAAATTTTTTTTGGATATTTTGATGCTCAACAATATTCATCATCATCATTTGAGTGTAACACAACATTGGCTAACTTATCTTCGATCTTCGAATGAATTGTTGTTAAATTTGATTAGTAGTTAGTAGTTATTGTTTATAATAATTCATTTTATTATAATACCTCTAGAAAACAAGCAGATATAGCACAAAAAGGGATTGTTGTAGATGGATTTGCATTCTCTTCAACAATGGACGCTTTTTGATTAATTTTTTTGGATGGATCTGGATTCTCTTAGACTATGGAGGCTTTTTTGCCTGATCGATATGGATGGCTCTGCACTCTTTTCAACCATGGGGGGTTTTTGCTTGTTAGCTATCATAAGAATGTTTAGTTAAAGAACTTCCAATTAATTTATAAATGTTGTAATAACTAGTATAAAGTTAGTTTTAGCATTCTCTTTCGCTCCCAATATCTAGCATTTTATATTTATAGTGTAGGGTTTAAGGTTTAGAGCTTATATTTATAGCATTTAGGATTTGAATTTTAGAGTTTTGTGTTTTGGGTTTGTGGTTTTGTGTTTTGGGTGAGTTTAGGGTTAACATTTATGAGTTAATGTTTATTTTTTTTAGGATTTAGGGTTCAAAATTTTGTGTTTTAGGGTTTATAGTTTAGAGTTTATAGATTATGGTTGGGAATTAGCTTTATAAAGTTTAGAGTTTAGGGTTTAAAGTTTAGCTTTTTTATTCGATGTTTTAGATTTAATAGTTAGAGTTTAATGGTTTATCGTTTAGGGATTATAGTTTACAGTTTAAAGTTTTGATTCGAGGTTTTGGGTTGAGTGTTTATGATTAAGAAAATCATATGACAAATCTATTAAAGTTGAGAGTTTATGGTTTTAGATTTTTTTTTTTTAAGAGAACCCGAAAGGGAATTTTATTCATACCACAATAAAGGATACATAGGAAGACAAGAATTCTAAAGGGAATTTTATTCATACCAAAATAAGAAGACAAGACATCTCAAGTTTAATGAAAGAAAGCTTTTGTTGATGAAACTCCTACCAAAGAAATAAAAGAGGTGCACAATGGTTTTGTATGTAGATTTAAATCATTTTTGGAAGTGATCAATTGTGTAGGGATGGTTCATAACAAACTCCATTTCCCAATCAACTTGAGGATCCACCCCAATCAAGTTGAAGATTCATCTAATCATTCATGTATATATGCTAAAGCAACACACGAAGAGGGAGAAGGTTCGTCGAGGGGAGTTTCCATGCGGGTATCAATGGTAGTAGTCACTTTATTTGACAAAGAAGTATAGCAAGTCCTCGAAGGAGTAATGTATAAATCCTTAGAGAATTTTCTAAGGTTCTCCATGCATAAATGATTCTATCTACAAAATTTTAGAGTATTTTAGATTTCAATTAGAAGTTTTAAGATACTAAGAATTCTAATAATTTAATGAAAAATTATAAACTATTAATTATTGTCCCAAGGATTCTATAGAATCGCATACCCAAAATATTTTTAAGATTTTAAGTCTTCTATGGCCTGTCAAATGTGTCAAGACTTTAGTTAAGTCTCCAAAATAATTTTTGAATGTTGTGGTCTTTTTTCAAGCTAACTTCAGGTTAATCCGGGTGATTTTGAAAGTTTTATTGGTTGATGCTCGCCTCAAAATAATCCAAAAAGAGTGTGGTAGGCCTCCTTGATTGTGGGGGTATTAACATTCTCTTATGATTTTGCTTGGCTTTGTATGGGTTGGTGTGGCTAATCATAGCTTATCTTGGGTTATATTTTAAGCTATTGCATAAAAAGGCTTGTCAAGCCAAGCGAATCCAATTCAAACAAAGGCAAGTCAAATCAAGCTTAGCTAAACCAAGTCAATTCATGCCAGACTAAGCTTAGCTATGCAAAGTAAAGTCATGCAATGGTAATGCCAAAAAATGACTTAGTTAAGCCAAACCAAGCAAATTTTTTACAGAGAAGCCTTACCGAGCAAAGTTCAGCTATGCCAACCAATGTCAAGCAAATCCAAACAATAACAATCAAGCCAAGCCAATCCAAGCCCATCTAAGTTTTGCCAAGCAAGCTAAGCTATGTCATGCAATGCCAAATCTACTTAAGCTTAGTCAAGTCCAGCCACACAAAGTCAGAAGAAGAGAAGCCTTAACACACAAAGTAAAGCTAAGCTTTGCAAAGACAAGCTAATTTAAGCAAGATGTTTTTATGTTAATACAAAGCCCAAGCTAAGCCATAAATTGATTCAAGAAAACAATACTAGTGCTTAGCTAATAAAAGTTAATGCTTGGCTGCTATTAGCTATTTAAGCAACAAAAATTTTATTAAGCCAACAATTCAAAGCAAATTCTCTATAAGATGTGGTAATCTAGGCTTTGCTTTGCTGAGGTAGGCTAACAAATATAAGGCCAAGTAAAAGTAAACTAAGCTAAGTAAAGCAAAGGTAAATTAATAATTGTGTAGTCCTGACATGCCTACTCTATCTTACAATTCTAACATTGGCTAGATAATACGAGCCACGATAAGCTAAAATTAAAAAATGCAAATAAACCCATGCAAAATAAGCCAAGCAAAGAAAAGTTAAGCCATGGTAAGCTAATTCAAGCCATTTAAAGCAAAGTGAAACTAAACCATGTCATTCTAAATGAAACTGAGCAAAGTAAAATTAAGCAAGGCGTAACCCAATTAACTGACAATTACACAAGAAAATCCAGACATAGCTTAACATAACTAGTCAAACAAATCTAAGAAGTCTAACAAAGCTAAACCAAGCTTAATATTATAAAGCCTAGCCTAGCTATATGCTCTTTTAACTAAGTAATACCAATCCATGACAAATTGAAAAATGCATTCAAGGAAAAATTAAATAAAACCTAGCCACTCTAATTCAATAAAATTTAAGTCTTATAAAAACTACTTAACCAAGTCATGTAATGCTTAATGTCTGGGTTAAGTGTCAAACCAGTATCATTTAGCATGATCTTAAGATTACCGTAATTTTCATACCTGATCTCTTAGGTACTAGTCTCCAACACTTTAAAATATTCTATAGGCCCTATTGTTTATTATATCAAGGAAAACGCTCCACATTAAAAAAATAAATAAATAAATAAATAATAAACAAGAAGAAGAGCTCTTCCTAAGCACTCAAAATTAATATCATCTAACAATTACATTCATATATTAAATAAAAAGGGAAACTTAAATACATACCACACAATTCTAATTTGTTTACAAATCTAACACCTAAACTTTCATAACTACATGAACAACACTCAAATATTCAATATTACATCAGAAATACCACATTACTAACTTTTTAAAAGTGAAATGCTACATTTTCATGATAGGTTGAAAACACCAAAGTGTTAGTGTTAGATATGTAAATACATAAGAATTGTGCAGGATGCATGTAAATTTTCAAAACCTAAAATCAGTGTTATACATGATAAAATAATGTTCCTAATATCATGACCTTCTATCATATATAAGTTAGATATAAGATTAAAAATATGTTGCTCTTGAATTTGAGCCGATCAGCTCAAAGATCCTAAATGAATGTACCTCATAATATGCACCACTACGCGACTCATCAAAAGCATGCTTCCCTCCATATCCCTCGCACTAGTTTGAAACTCAGGAAATTAACACCTCAACTTGTCACTCCCAAAACACAACAAAACATCAACAGATACTTTGCAAATCGACTGCCTTATTCCTCCAACATCCCCATTTAATTATCAATAAAAAATAAAAATACAAAATAGTGCAGGTACGTAAATTTGAGCTAATTGTTCAAGAAGGAACATTTGGTCAAACCTTTCACTTCTTCCTTGCCATTTTAGCTATCCAGCAAAGAAATGTGCAAGCAAGAAATAGTGAGAAGAATTAACGACAGCCTTGATCAGTCTTATCTCTCTTATTTCATATACCAAGGTCTAACACCTATGACACCTACTGAATATTTACATGAGTGTGTAGTCATGAGGACTTCTCGGGCCTAAATTTTCAAAGCCAGGACTGGATTGTAAAAAGAGCCGATGTGCGGATCATGTGCTCAGCTTGCATATGTTGACAAACTTTTCGACTGCATTATGATATTGGGTTCCCTGGAATAAATGATGAAAATTTATGAATGGGAAGAATGGATTAATTATAGCCAATCTTATAATAATTCGCTATAAAACAGTAAATATTGTATTTGAAAAAACTTTTCAACATATGAGAACATGGGGGTGTTTAGACCACTGCCTTATTTATCTACATAAAAAAGGTATCCAGCAAACAAGATAATTTACTAAAGACATAAAATATACAGGATCAACTCACTAAATCTATAATACCACTCTATAGAAATTATGCTTACGCATCAAGTATTTTCAATTTTTTACCAAGGAAATAAATAACCTTCATGGATGCACTAAAAAGGTAAATTTAAAGAAAAATACTAACCTCCCAGTATAGCTGCCTGCAGTCAGTGCACTGCCAAAATTCTGTATCTTTGTCAAAGAGGCAGTTAGGAATGATTTGGAACCCTTTGGAAGCTTCAATAGCTTCCTCATATGTCAATGGTTTTTGAATGAAGCTACCGTTGCATTTTGTGCATCTTGACATGAGCTGTTCCTCAGAAATATTCAAATGAAAGGTTTCAATCACCTGTAGATGTGACATAGAAATTCACAAAACATGGTCACAACCGATATTCAGTTTTCCTGTTCAGGCTAGAAATTGAGATCCGATAACTAATATTGTTTAAGAGGATTTATTATACTTTCAAGAACATGATATACTATTAGAGAAGTGAATAGAATTGCACCACAGAATACGATAAAACAAGTTAGCACTCAGGGATTTAGAAGTACTATTTTTCTGCCCAATATCTGACATGAAGCATAAATTGTGATTGATACTTTTATTCAGTAAAAAGGAATGTACACAATAGATCTCATCCAACAGATCATATTATATAAACTTATTAAATTATTTCAAGTCTTACCGTATAAGGGCAAAAGCAATATAAAGATGGGTTTAACCTCTGCAGGATTTTAGACGCCATAAAAAATGGCCTATGTAACATATGCAAGGCTCGACATGGGGAATTAAAAAGCCAGCCAAACCAATACTGAAGATGAAAAAATGATGAAATCTAAAAAATAGATGAAATTAAGCCAGATATATAATTAGATGCAGATGCAGTATGGAACAGGATAATCCATGCAGATGCAGTTTGGAACATGATATCCATGCAGATGCAGAAATAATATTTTCTTTCCAAACTTCTCAATCTGAGCCTTTTATAAACAGTTTGGAAAATCAGTTTAACTATAAATTTCAATGGTTAGAGATGCAAACCAAGCAACCAAATAAGCATTAGCATTCATGACGGGGGAGCTACCAACAGAATCGTGGTCCACGACCCCGCAATTGCGGGATTCCACAAGAGGACTCAATTCCAAGAATGCCGGATTCAGCCTACAATGGAACCGTCGATACTGCGAACATAGGATAGACCAATCAAGCAGCTTTCCAGCCCTAATATCAAATTCAACATGAATTTATATATTTTCTAGCTTATTTCTTATTTCTTTAATTATAATTAAGATTTCTTTCAAACAGAAAATATTTTAAATGTTATAATTTTTTGTTGTGGGGACTTTTTATTTGGTTTTTTGTAATTTGAATATGCAATCTCTGATTTCTACCTAAGCAGTAATGTATCCTCTTCCTTTTGCAAGTGATGTGTATGTAGCTTGTGCAGAAATAGGTGGTGGATCTTGCTCACCACCCATACTTGGCCAGTTCACCCTTCAACCGTTGTTTAGTCTGAACAACCGCCGAAACACTCAAACATGTTGTCCAAAAGCAGACTTCACCCCCTATCTCCTTCCAAACATCATTGATCACCCCCATTGTCATTCTCATACTCTTTCACAACCACCTCCCAATGAAATCAGCATCCTAAACATCTTCTTGAAGCCCAAAAAGATGTCATTCGATATTAGTACTCGGTAAACCCTAAATTTTTTGGAATTTGTCTTTCTTACCCCAAATTAAAATTCCAAAGAAAATCTAATATAATAACCCTTCCAAAACAAAACAAAAAAAAATCCCCACCATAACCCAAGCATCCCAACAACAATTCCGAGTCCTAACCCTAAATTTTCAAAATTCAACTTTCCAACTGAAGAAAAGTGGAGAAAATTGTATTATCATATTTCTTAATAATCAAATTACAATTGTTCTACCTATTTAATAAGGAAGAATTATAACAAACTTAGTTACAAATATTAAAACTTAGAGATGATAAATTAACTCAAAAAGAAAGAAATATGAAAAAGAAAAGATAATAAAAGAGAATGATACTAAAAATAGGAAACTCAAAATTCCACACTCCCTCTCATGCTGGGTCATAGATGTTGTAAAGACCCAACTTAGTATTCAAAACAACGAAGCGGCCTTGAGGTAGATATTCAGTGAAAATATCAGCAACTTGAATCAGAATGTTGATTTAAGTAAATAATGTCTCCATTGATCTTTTTAAAGATAAAATGTCTATCTTAATCTGCGCTAACGTGCGTGCTCCTGGGGGCCTGCACGCCCTCGCTTACCTGAGGGCGAGCATTTTCTTCTCAATTTTTTTTCTTTCAGCCTAATTTTGAGGTTTGACACCTTGTGGAAGTTATGTGGACCACTCTTGCATATTTTAGCTGCGACTTGCATTTATAATGGCTTTAAAAAAGGTAAGCTTTTTGAGAATTTTAGAGATTTTGATGTTTGTAGCTTGATGTAAGGCATGTATATCTATTGGAAGGAAGCACTGTCAAGCTGCAGGGATGTTTTTGAGTGGATTGTCAAGCATGCAAGCATTGCCTAGTGTACTCAAGGTCTCATCGCCATATGGCCTTAATGTAATGTTGTGTATTGGTAGCTTCACATCGAGACCCTTGAGTGTTGCAATACTCGTTGTGATGCTTAAGATTGTGTCTATTTTCAACACAATGTGTTGTTCTTCAGTGGATGCTTCTCATGCACCTTCTTAGTCCTAACGTGAATACTTGTCTTGCAGAGCTCGTCATCCCCATCGTTTTCATGACCCTTGTGCTCACTTGTTGTCAGAGCTAAAATGATATTGTAGTAACCCAGACCACGATCAAATTGCAAATATTAGTGTTGGAATTCAAAATGGTTATAAACAAAACACTTGAAAACAACAGAAACAACGACATGACACAAAACTAGGTTGTCAATCAGGGTGTTGAGTGGGTTGTCAACGGTGGCTGCAATTGTGGGAAAATAGGGTTGCAGTGGGAAGATAGTTGGGCTCAAGTGGATGACGGTTTGGAGGGTAACAGAGATCAGGTGGTTTGCGGATTGGAGGCGGTAGGTAAAAAAAGCGGTGATTGGATGGTGGTAGGCTGCGGAAGTGAAAGTGGAAGAGTGGGGGTTGTGATTGGACGACAAAAAAGGGGAAGGGTGGTTGTGGTTGGACAGCAACAAGAAGAAAAGAGAGGATGTGTGGTTGAACTGCAACGAACAAGCAAGAAGGTTGGTCACAGGAGATGAGGGACTGCATTGGGCAGAAAAGGGTGGGTGTTGTGGATGAGCTGCGGTGAGCAAAAAAGGGGGGTGTAGGTCAACAACACGGAGGAGGTTGTGGGAGGGTAAAGTGGAGGATAATCACCACTTCAGAGTGACATATAACCGAAGCACCACATGTCCTCGGATACAACCCTAAAAGGGAAAACGGAGGCCGACGACTGTCCTCACAAAAAACACACCAAAACGCTAACCCTAAATAGAGAATGACAATAGATAAGTTAGTAAGATAGTTTAATTTTTTCACTAACTTCTTATTCAATTTAGGATCATTAAAAAACTTTCCATTTATGGTTAGTAACTAATTGAGAAGCATCGAATTACTATATGGTTTGACTCCTAATTTTTAGTTTATGCTAACAAATTCAACACATACTTCTGTTGAAATTGAAAGATACTCTTATTGCTCCTCAATATCTCAATCCCAAAGAAGTACTTGAAGGAACCCAGAACTTTAGTGCTGAACTAACTTTGAAAAAATAATTTCAATGATAAAATTCTCTGCACATTGCTTTCAGTAATAATAATAGCATCAAAATAACCACCAATAGAATGATTCGTGTAGTAGGTCTCTAATAGAATGCAGTATAATCAATTCCACTTTTCTGTATCCTAAACCCTTCTATTGCATGACTAAATTTTTCAAATCATGCTCAAGGACTTTGCTTCAATCCATATAAGAACTTCTGAAAATGACATGCCTTCCCAGACTCCCCCTGAACAACAAACCCAGAAGGTTGTTCTAGTATACTTCTTCCAAAAGATCACAATGCAGAAAAGCATTTTTCATATCCAATTGGTGCAATGATTAATTATTCATTGCAGCTAAGGATAGGAGTAGACAACCTAAAGTCAACTAAGCTACCATAAAGAATGTGTCCAAGTAGTTGATCCCATAACTTTGATCATAGCACTCAACAGCCAACTGAGCTTTGACATGAGCTACAAATCCATCAAACTGAAACTTAACTGCAAAGACCCACTTATAGCTAACAGCTTGCTTGCTAGAAGATAGTCCAACTAGTTCACAAGTTCTATCTTTTGTTATGGCATTCATCTCATCAAACATTTTTGCTCTCCATCCATAATGGGATTGAGCTTTTCTAAATAGATCTTGTCAACATGGAAGATAACAAATTATAGTTAACACAAGAAGAAATGGGATAGACGCATTGACGTTTAACTCTTCAAAAAGCAATAGGTAGTTTATGGTCAGTGGGAGGAAGATCCATCGAGGAAAATGAAATGGTCTAGTGACTTGGATCAAAAGAAGGTTTTCTACAGTTAACATTAGTGATAGGTGGTATTGGTTAAGGCACTAGAGGAAGTGGAGCTAGAGTTGGATCTGAACTTATGATGTGATATATTAATAACTCATCAAGATCTTGTGAAGATTTAGGCACCGATAAGTCACAAAATATAGAATTTGTTCATGAAAGACAGTATCAGCAAAAATCATATAGGTGTCTAAGAGGGGAAAAACATCGAACTGCAAATGAGAATATCCTAGAAAGACACCTTAATGACTTAAGGTCAAGCTTAGAAACTTATGGATGAGTATCACGATCAAAAAAATTACACCCAAATATGTGTGGTTCAATAGACAAGAGAGAGTTAGATGGAAATAAAAGTTCGTAGAGTGTCTAGTTCTGTAAAAGAGTAGAAGGCGACCGATTGATCAAAATATATGCAGTAGAAATTGCATCAGCCCAGAACCCTTTAGGCACATTCCTTTGAAACAAAAGAACTCTAGTCATCTCAAAAAGATATCTTTTTTATTCAACTACTCCATTTTGGGATAGTGTATCAACACAAGATGATTGGTGAAACATCCCATTTTATGCATGTACTTCTAAAATGGTGCAGCAATATATTCGTTGGCATTATCACTTCTCAAAATTTTAACTGAAACATTGAATTGAGTTTTAATTTTGGATGAAAAAATTGAAAATGTGACAATAACTCGGTACGAGATTTCATAAAATAAAGCCAAGTCATATGAGAAAAATCATCCATAAAAGAGACAAAATATCTTAATACATTAGATAAAATAGAACAAGATCCTCAAGCATCAAAATGAACCAACTCAAAATTATGACTTACTTTTTCATTAAATTTGGGAACAAAAGATAAATAATGGTGCTAAGCAAATTGACACGAATAACAATCTAAAGATGGTAATTGTTGAAATTGAGGGTACAACATTTTTTGTTCCTTGTTTGTGATAGATGTCTTAATCGACAATGGAATTCAAAATGAGATAAGGTGTCAGAATTCAAAATGAGACATACACATCCTTCATTTTAAAATAATATCATCATTTTTTTGCTTGTAATTTTTTTTTTTTTTTTTTTTTTCTTTAGCATTTTCAATACTCGCTGTTAAGTGAGTTGTGTATCTGAACTTTTGTTTTGTTTTGAAATAAATTTATACTTCTAAAGTATCAAAAATGTGGTTTTCACAGTTTTGTTTTAAATAACTTTATTAAACAGAGGCAAAATGGTCATCTTTTCATAAACAGCTGCCCTACAACTGTTTTCACACAGCTGCAACAAACAGGCAATAAGCTTCCCTGCAGTAGCTTCTTGAGGCAGCGCAGCTGCAACTGAAAAGCTGAGAAGCTGCAGTTGCCCCAAACGGACCCTTAGAATGTCTGTTAAAATGAAGGAATAATTAGGCACATTATTGTCCAAGGCACACCACAATAAAAATAATATAGCAAAATGAACCAATTATGGCTTGGTTGTATATGTTGCAACATTTTGTGCAGGTTCATCTTCTAATATGTAGCAAGGTTATTCTTTTCACCTTGATTTTTAAACTCACACATAACATATGTATTATGCAATGTATGTATGCAATGTATGTATGCATGATGAGTATGTATGTATGTATGGGTGCTAGTTCGTGTATGTGCATATGTATGTACGCATGTATGTATGTATTCATGAATGAATGTATATATGTATGTATGTATGTATACACAAACTCACAACACACCCGAACACACCACCAACACAGCTGCAAATATACACGCACATTCTAATTCAAATCTTATACAAGCTTGATTTGTTCCAAACTCAACACAAGTCAGGCTCAAGCCAAATCAAGCTTAATAGCTTAATCAATTCATTGATTTTGAATCGAGCTTGATCAAAGCCAAAAGTAGATCGAATTTAGGGGAAAATTTTCTGTTTGAACTCTGAGCGTAGCTCTATGTACGGACTCCAATGATATGTTGCCACGTGTGATACATCATAGAGGTTATTTCGTGGTTATTGAAGTGGAATCGCGTAAGTTATTTCGGGGTTGTTTTAGGGTTATTGAAAAACTCATATATTTCACTTTAATAAAACCACAAAATAACCCAGAAATAACCTCCACGGTATTATTTGAGGTTATTAACGTGGAACCGCAAAGGTTATTTCGAGGTTATTTAATGGTCCGCAGTTCCGCTTTAATATTTTTTTAGATGGGCCCGATATAGCACACATGGCGGTATAATACTGGGAGTCCGCATGTAGAGCTATGTCCAGAGTCAAAATAGAAAATTTTTCCCGAATTTAGGGGGTCATCAATCATCAAGCCAAATTCGTCGCTTGAACTTTGCACTAGTCAAATGTTGACTAGCAACTAATTAAAGCTCAACGATTTTGTCTCAATCTTGTAGACGATATTAACATTTGAATCCCACTAACATGCCATTATCTGCTAGCACACAACTACACTCAACCTTTGGCATTTGCTTTGCTCTCGAATTGTAGCCCTATCTCCAAATGGATTAAAACTCTAAACCAAAAAAGTGAAGTCCTCTTATAAGTAACTTCAAAGTGTGTTTTTTAAAGTAAATATTGATTTGAGGCCTTCATGTAATGCGCATCAGAGTGTAGCCACAAGGTATACCCCTCGAATAAAAATTGTGCAAAACCACACTAAGGCTAAAAATAGCAAGTCATGATGCGCTTATTGTGCACCTCTTGGTGAAGCATGCCTTAAATGTCTTTTCAAACCAAAATTACATGATAACAAAACAAAATACAAAACTAATTTGTTTCATAAAATTGCAACAATGGCTTAAAAAAGGTACATTTTATTGAATCGGAAATCAGGTTTGTTAAGTAAATTGTCTGACCTATAACCGAGCCAATCAAAAGAAAATCAATAGTCATTTTTTCGAGAGCAATTCAACCTTGCCGAAAAGGTGGATGCAGGCCCATGAATGACATTCACAAGTTTCATAAGCATTTTAGATTTCTAAAAAGAAATCAATTAGCAATGTTCTGAAGCCAAGGACAATGATGCATTGGCTGGCAAAACGAAAGAACCACCATTTTCTGGAGGGCGGGGTTTAGTGTGGGAAATAAGTAAAACATTATTTTCTTGAACATTAATTCAGAATCTAGAGCAATGCAGTCAAAGAACTACGCATAATCATATTATTACTATAGTAGGTTAGCTAAGCTTACCAACTCAATTACTCAAGTTTTATTTGAATAAAATAAATAATGAAATAAAGTAACAAGAGAAAATTGTGCAAAGCCAAGCAGATGTTTGACAGCTGAAAAAATTAACATTCAATTCCTAGAAATTCCAAGAATCATCATCCATAAAGTCAGTTAAGGTCTAGACAATGCAATTGCTATAACTAATCCAACAAAATAAGAAAAACCAACCTTGCTGCATGTTACGGCAATATATTAAATAAACAAAACGCAAATTCTGAAAACAACTAAAGCAGAAATTTCAAGAGAAAATTAAAAAAAAAATCAAAGACATATATCTCATAGAATGTCTAATCAATAACCTCAAGTAGTTGGTCGTTTTTTAGCAAACTCTTCACCATGTAAACTTGATTACTCGCCAAATATTGGTGTTTCAGGAGCTTAGCATCTCGTGTTAGAAGCACTCTTTTTTCTTTGTATGCTTGATCCAGCAACTGTCTAAACAGAATTAAAGTGAAAACTTGAATCAAAATGATGAAATATAATATTGTTCATAGTAAATACCTTGGATCAGGTTTTTTGAAGGATGAGATAGCAGCATCTATTCCAACACACCGTAGATGACGTGCTAAACCTTCCACCTGGGTGGGTGCCATTACAGAATAGTCATATAGAGATCATTGAGATCTAATAATTAAAAATGCTCAACCAAATTCAGGATAACTGGAAGATCAGAAGAATGATGGATTAAGAAAAATGAAGATAGAAAAATGATCAACAAGGACCCTAATAAAAAAAATAGAGGAAGAAAAACGATCAACTAGGCTGTTAAAAAAAATGGAGAACCGATCAAATAAAGCAGTGACAGTATCAAGTTTATGAACTCAGCAATTTTTTATTATAAAAAAAATACAGGCCATGAAGGACCAAGGTTATGGCCTATTGTACCAATGTGGTTATCACAGGATATAATTTTTTTTTTTTTTTTTTACTACGTGTTTATTATTGTAGATGAAAGGAGACGTATATTTGTCTGGTAGCGGAGTCTCCCGCAGCAGAAATTCCCGCTGTTGAACCAGCAGGCCCAATTGAGGCCGGTTCAAGGTAAACCCACGCCGAGCGGCCTAGGGGAGATAATTTGACGGGTGGGACTGCCACCCGCCTCTCTCCTCTTTCCTTTCCTGCTTCTTCTTCGTATGGGAAGTATTTTAATGGCTATATCTCGATCTTTCTTGCCTCCCCACCCCTCCCTTTTGTGTGGGAGTTTCCTTCGTTATTTCTTTTCTTTTCTTCGTCAATGGGGAGTCTATAAATTGTTGTTTTCTGATTGTAGGGTTCAATTTTTGATGTGTTTTCTTTTAAGATTTATTGTGTGAAGTTTTATTTCTTTCTGTAGGGTTGTATTCGAGAAGGTAGAGGTGCTCCGGCTATATCCTCTCCGAGGTGATAACGTATCTTGCCCTTTTATCTTCCATAACTTGTCTCTTCCACTCCCCTTAGTAGCCAGCCACTCCAAGCCTTCCCCAGCCGCTCCAGCCCACTTTCCATCCGTCCAACCTGCTGTTCAAACACTCCAAGCCTGTCTAGCTCCGCAACCTATTGTCTAGTCGCCAAACCTGCTGTCCAGACTTCCATTTCCTGCTATCCATCCTTTCCGCCATCCCCCACCACTTCCCCAGCCTTCCAAACTACCTTACAGCCCTCAAACCTTCCCTCTTTCCCCCCGGTCACCTTGTCTGCACCATCACCGCCCTCGGATCTTCTCTTCGGGTCCTAATCAGGGATTGGGTTGTTATTGAATGCCCCTTTCCTGTTTGTGTCGTGTTGTAACCCTCTTTCTAAATTAATAAAAGTTTCCTTTCATGTTTCTGCTGAATTCCATCCAGCGCCGGCATCAATGTGTGTGCTTGAATCTCTAGGCAGCACATCATTCAAGTGTCCTGCATTCTTATTTATTTAGAATTCCACCGTAGGAAGCATACTGAAAGACTCAAATAGCTCAATGTAAGCCCGATAATGAAAAATATTGTATGTCTTTACTGTTGTTTTAGAAGTGATGGTGCTAGTGATGAAATTTCAGCGTTCCGGTAGTTAGTATCCAATCATGGATGAATCAGATTAAAACCATTTAGCAGAAGAAAAAGCAAAAAGAAATAAAAAGAAGCATGTCTATATTTTCTGCAAATCAATAGAACGACCATTGTTTACAAGCCTCAAGGGACCATGGAACATCCTTCAATAACAAAAAAAAAACAAAATCAATTGAAAAAACAGAAAAAGTTTGCAGTATAAAAACTCTATTAAGAGATCAATGCAAGCAGGAACTACCATATGCTATCATGAAAGCAAAATAGATGTGACATCCCCTACCATAACATCACAAAGAAACTTTGAGCAGCCATCACCACCAAAAGCAGGATCCCATGGCAAGCGGCCCTGCCAATTGTTGTTAATTCCAAACTGCTCTATACTCTTTGTATTTCCGGATAATTGTCGTACTCTCTTTCTCCTCGAGAGCCTAGGTTTTCGGTCTGCTTCCTTCAATACAATTTTTTCACCATAAAACTTGGCAATGTCTAAGATGTGCTTATCTAGAATATAGCTAGCTTCACAAACAGGCTGTGAGCTAGATCCCATTGCAGCATTGCCTAAAAAATTAATTATTGGATAACATGCTTTCATCATATCAGATGCGCTGCAGTACTTAGTTCGCACAACATTCTTGCATGCATTAAAATCCGTAAACAATTCCTTCAGCCCACCAGTTCTAGAACTCAATTCCGTCAGTTTGTATATTCCTGTTTCTGAGATTTCACGGTACATTAAGAAAAAAATGATCATGTAAATAAACCATATTAATAGTTTATAACTAGAGAAGGAAAGTTAAAATGGCAAAAAATGAACATGCAGCATGCAAATCATAAGAGTTTTCTTTCAAAAGTGCAACCACAATACAAGATCCCAACAAACAATAACATCCACGACTAAACAAACAGCCATCATCTCTGGAACACAATCTAGACCGTCCAACTGCAACCACCTAAGTTCATCCCAACCTTACAGCATACTCCAGAAGAAAATTGTAGACTACCTTACTGTAATGTGATTACATAATAGAATAGATTTACTACGTTGAGAACCCCCTACTTCCTTAACTTGTACTTACTTCCCAGGCTCTGCATTAGTAACTCACATATTCGTCATGGTATCCGAGCAGCTGCTTAACAGCTAACCGGCCTCTTCTCAATGGATAAATAAGACCCTTCCTTTGCTAATGATTCTCCAGGCCAATCCAGCATAGCCAGCATATACCACATCCCGGAAATTTCTAAAGACAGACATCAAAAATATTGTTCACACCCAGCTAACTGCTGATAATTCTCCCCTACAGTGATCTCAATTACAAAAAAATCTTTCAAGCCAACAACTTTGAAGGCTTTCTCGATGGAAATTCCCTTGTCCTAACAAAATCATCATTGCAAACAATGCCCCGCTCCTGAAACCTCTACATGAAACAGGGATGATAATGGATCAAAACCTCTACACAGCCCCCTATTCAACATTTAAAGCATCAATTCTCCCATAAGAGCTCAATCTAGAGACATGCTTATACATTTGCAAACACTTCAACATCGTCTATACACCACTAATAGTTCCTGAACTTCATTGCATAACCATGAAAAAGCAAACAACAAATCAATACACATCTTCCACTGAAAACCTTGTTGGGAATAACATAGCGGTCGACTCTCATATCGACAACGAGGACATCATTCAACATATACTTAAAGGGCTACCATCCACTTATCAAGCATTTAAAACTGACATTCAAACCAAACTTACACCCATAAACCTTGAAGATGTCTACTCCCTTCTATATTGTCATGACCCGGCCAAGGATTTGGAATTAAGCAAGACAGGAACGGACGATCGGACAGTGAAAATAAATTTTCTGTTATTCTATTTCTATCACTAACAGTTTAATATTCAAATATTTATGAAAAAATCACTAAAGAAAGCAATTAATATTAACATGTAGAAATTTGTACCTTCATAATTGTTATTCTCGCCTCGTATCCATATTTGCTCTTCTATTCATCTCATTCAAATGATTGAAATCTAAAAACAATATTAAAGCAATATATTGAATTACCTAAATATAACACAGAAGTAATCACACTTCTAAACTACAGTAACCCAATGAAAAAAAAATCAATATGCACGTTGATTTCTCATATCTATATAAGAAATCTTATAAATGCTGGTCTTTCATGTTTTTAATCTGATAATATGTAAATACATGTATCAATGGCATTCTCTAAATGAAAATACTCAAATCTTCTATATATCTATATTTATTTTTTCTTTACTATTACTTTATACTCTTTACATACACATATATCCCTGTGAGGATTACCGTCAACAAAACCTAACATACCCTTGACTGATATTGCTCTGTTGGCTCCCGTCGATACAGTAGTCAGCAATTTAAACATCACAATTTACTAGGGTGGAAAGGCTCTTACTTTCCTTCTGATTGATATTATACCATCAGCACAGCGTTTAGTAGTGTAAACATCACACTTCTTATGCGAGGTAAGCCGATATTACCTCGTTGACACAGTGGTCATTGATCTAACCATCACAATTGTCTGTGGTAGCAGAAAAACTCTACACGTGCGAGTACACTGGCATCCCTTACTTTTATCAATAGAGGATGAACTCCTCCTTTGAATATGCATAAAAGCATTCATATATAAGTTATTTCATTCTTCATAACATAAATTATTCTGAGACATTTTTTTGCATCTACTAACATGCATATTCACTCTTATTTTATTGTGCAAATATCATGTATTTCTCATATCATTTATATCTATATCTCATATCTCTTACTTATATCATGCGTATCTTTTTCTATCGTGCTTATCATGCATAGATTTCTCATCATGCATATACTGCATATCATTTAGCTCAAACATATCTTTCATGCATATCTATCATATGTAACAATATGAAGGATCTATTTAAACTAGAAAATATATGGAGTCAAACATACATTTTTAAATAAAGGAGATTAGAGAAATTTAGAAATGTACTTACCTCAGTTGCCACGGTAGTTTCTTAAGCTTTGGCAACTAGCTGGACGTTGCAACAAATCTTTATGTTGATCGTAATAACCTATAAAACATAATATTAAATCTTAATATTTAAGAAAATTCTCTTAATCTAATTATTCTTCTCAGCTTAGGGGTTAATTTACTTGATGTTTATGAATTCGTTCTACAAATAGCTTTCACGCGCTTGCCTCGAATTGGACGTCTCAGGTAAACAACATGAAATCTTAAACAACTTAGAAATTCATGATATCTTAGCTCATAGGTAATTTAACTCAACATATAATTAATATGTCAAAACATACCTTAAACTACTTCTCGGAATCCCAACCCATCTCCAAGCTACTAAAACTTCTTCCCTCCTCGTCCTATCTTCTCAAGCTTCCTTTCCCCTTATTTAAATTACTGCTAATCTGCTTCTTCTCAATTATTTTATAGTTAATGACACTTGCACATATTTTATTTTGATTGAGATATTTTTTCTTTATCAGTCACATTGTTATGAATATTGTAGTCACTTATTCTCATGTATTTGGTGCATGTTTGATATAGTATGTTGAATTGAATGTAATGAATGAATGAATGACATGATTATATTGACTGTTATATGTGTATGACTGACTATGATGAAATCACTCATTTATGATACTAGTGGGGGGATACTAAGATACCCGTGCATGTATATGGAGAAGGACATTAATATTGATGTGTCTTAATTTATATAATTTTTAGACGGTACTCTTGTGACGGTTGTACAGATATAGAACGATAATGATATGCATTGATAAAATAAATTTCTTTAAATGACATCAAATACTTTTATTGATTTATTAAAAGCTTGATCGGCATGCATGTTGCTTCATTTTTCTCTTGTATTACTATAGTTTATAAGTATGAATATTCATTGACTTATTTAGCTCGCTGATATTTTAAACTAACTTTTCAGGTTAATTAAGTGATTAGCGATGAGTGCTAGAAGAGATAAAGTTTATAGAATATGCACACAGCCAGTAACGAGATAATTATAAATATATTGCTTTAATTTAATTTAATTTGTGACTCCTGCATTTGTTAAATTATTGACGAATAATAAAAATTGAATTTCCACCATCCGTCTGTCTGTTATTGTTATGGTTAATTCCAAGCACTGAGTCGCGTCGTGACATCTTTAATCTAGAGTTTTCTTTGGTGTCCCTCAAGAAGTAGATAATCAAAAGAATACATTTCTTTAAGAGTTGTTCTTGAGACCATAACAAAAATATAAAATTTTAATTCTCTGATGTCGTATGTGGGGGATTTATATAGGTTTATTTTGTGGCGAAGCTTTCAAGGAAATTTGGTTCAATTTCTTTTTCAACATTCGCTCCTGATATATCTCATGAAGACCCTCCTATAAAAATTCTCCACATTCCTTTTGTTTTTTTTCTTTCTTCTGCAGACATTCCTTTATTTATATGTATAAGTTGCTTTATTTTTCGCACATTCTTATGATTTTCACTCATGTAAGTTGCTTTATTTTTCGCCCATTCCTATGATTTCCACTCATTTTGGTGATTTAGAAAATGAGGATAATTGAAAATGAGGATTATAAAATAAAATTAGACAAGCTGGCAACTCTATTAATACCTAGGCACAAACCATACTATTCATATGCCTTAGCAGAGCACACTAAGACAAATACCAATAGCACTTAGCCAGACTCTCCCTCACAACCACAGCTGCAGTGCGTCTTCAATCCTCCCGTCCTCACCACAGGCTAATCAAACCTCAGCAAGGCCGATACTTTGGCTCCACCTCCACAGCCATCAGCACCTTCCAACACTCACCCTTTGCTCACTAGATTTAAAACAGGGTCTCTGGAAGTCAAACACCCATTAAATATCCACATTCAAGTCCACTCTCAACCAGGAAAACCCACATGCTTCTCCCTAGCCATTGACCTCCGCAATGGATTCAAGCTATGGGCATATATTTTCTTGCATGTCACAACAGCAAAGCAAATGATCCCTATCCAAAAAAGGAGTGTGAACCGATTAAAAGGAGATTTCTTTCAAACCAGAGCATGTCGTAAGACCTATTATCAATATAAAAGGGCATCAGAACACATGCCACAAACAATGAAAAAAAAACTGCTGAAAAACCTGCAATTTATTCTAACCCACATTTTCCTATAACAAGTGGTCCAGTGCAAAAGCAACATAAAATCAATTATATCAAATTCAAAACAAATAAGCTTCATTAATATATCGCTTATCAAAGAGCCGATACTTTGGCAAAACAGAAAACAATAATCATATTCCACTCAAGGCGTATACGGTAAAGTTTCCTCTTTAAGAGTTGCTTCGATATCAACTCCCATTTCCATCTGACTAAATGAATTCTATATTCACTGTTTAGTGTTTTCGGACTCAGATTTTCTGACATTTCTTCTGTGGTAAAGCTGATCAGCGGACATGTAGTGCTCCGGCTATATCCTGCTCCAAAGTGGTGATTCCCCCACTCTTATTCCCGCACCTACTCCCTCCCAGCACACCTCCCTTCCACCGACATGCCGCCCTTCCACTGTTTCCCTGCCGCCAGGCCCCGCCTCCTGCAGCCGCTCTCCACCCTTTTCAAATCATCCTACGACTGCCGCAAACCTCCCAATCGTGTCCTGCCGTTGAGGCCATCCTCGCCAGATTAGCCTG